AGGCTCGCTGAATAGATACAAAAACAAGACCCATATATATGCTGTCTACAGGAGACCCACTTCAGAACTAGGGACACATACACACTGAAAGTGAGGGGATGGAAAAGGATATTCCATGCAAATGGAAATCAAGACAGCTGGAGTAGCAATACTTATATCAGATAAAATAGACATTAAAATAAAGAATGTTACAAGAGACAAGGAAGGACACTACGTAATGATCAAGGGATCAATCCAAGAAGAAGATATAACAATTACAAACATATATACACCCAACATAGGAGCACCTCAATACACAAGGCAACTGCTAATAGCTATAAAAGAGAAAATCAACAGTAACACAATAATAGTGGGGGACTTTAACACCTCACTTACAGCAATGGACAGATCATCCAGACAGAAAATTAATAAGGAAACACAAACTTTAAATGACACAAGAGACCAGATAGATTTAATTGATATTTATAGGACATTCCACCCAAAAACAGCAGATTACACTTTCTTTTCGAGTGCACATGGAACGTTCTCCAGGATACATCACATCTTCGGTCACAAATCAAGCCTTGGTAAATTTAAGAAAATTGAAATCATATCAAGCATCTTTTCTTACCACAACGCTATGAGATTAGAAATCAATCACAGGGAGGAAAAACATAAAAAACACAAACACTTGGAGGCTAAACAATACATTACTAAATAACCGAGAGATCACTGAAGAAATCAAAGAGGAAATCAAAAAACACCTAGAGACAAATGACAACGAAAACATGACGATCCAAAACCTATGGGATGCAGCAAAAGCAGTTCTAAGAGGGAAAGTTTATAGCACTACAAGCCTACCTCAAGGAACAAGAAACATCTCAAATAAACAATCTAACCTTACACCTAAAGGAACAAGAGAAAGAAGAACAAACAAAACCCAAAGTTAGTAGAAGGAAAGAAATCATAAAGATCAGAGCAGAAAGAAATGAAACAGAAACAAAGAAAACAATAGCAAAGATCAATAAAACTAAAAGCTGGTTCTTTGAGAAGATAAACAAAATGGATAAACCTTTAGGCAGACTCATCAAGAAAAAGAGGGAGAGAACTCAAATCAATGAAATTAGAAATGAAAAAGGAGAAGTTACAATGGACACTGCAGAAATACAAGGCATCATAAGAGACTACTACAAGCAACTCTAGGCCAATAAAATAGACAACCTGGAAGGAATGGACAAATTCTTAGAAAGGTATAAACTTCCAAGACTGAACCAGGAAGAAATAGAAAATATGAACAGATCAATCACAAGTAACGAAATTGAAACTGTGATTAAAAATCTTTCAACAAACAAAAGTCCAGGACCAGATGGCTTCAAAGGTGGATTCTATCAAACATTTAGAGAAGAGCTAACACCAATCCTTCTCAAACTCTTACAATAAATTGCAGAGGAAGGAACACTCCCAAACTCATTCTATGAGACCACCATCATCACCCTGAAACCAAAACCAGACAAAGATACTACAAAAAAAAGAAAATTACAGACCAATGTCACTGATGAATATAGATGCAAAAATCCTCAACAAAATCCTAGCAAACAGAATCCAACAACACATTAAAAGGATCATACACCATGATCAAGTGCGATTTATCTCAGGGATGCAAGGATTCTTCAATATACGCAAATCAATCAATGTGATACATCATATCAACAAATTGAAGAATAAAAACCATATGATCATCTCAGTAGATGCAGAAAAAGCTTTTGACAAAATGCAACACCCATTTATGATAAAAAAATATCTCCAGGCATAGTGGGAGCCTACCTCAACATAGTAAAGGCTTAGATGAAAAACCCACAGTAAATATCATTCTCAACGGTGAAAAACTGAAAGCATTTCCTCTAAGATCAGGAACAAGACAAGGTTGTCCACTCTTGCCACTATTATTCAACATAGTTTTGGAAGTCCTAGCCACGGCAATCAGAGAAGCAAAAGAAATAAAAGGAATACAAATCGGAAAAGAAGAAGTAAAACTGTCACTGTTTGCAGATGACATGATACTATACATAGAGAATCCTCAAGGTGCCACCAGAAGACTACTAGAGCTAATCAATGAATTTGGTAAAGTTTCAGGATACAGAATTAATGCATAGAAATCTCCTGCATTCCTATACACTAATAACGAAAGATCAGAAAGAGAAATTAAGGCAATAATCCCATTCACCATTGCAACAAAAAGAATAAAATACTTAGGAATAATCCTACCTAAGGAGACAAAAGACCTGTATGCAGAAAACTATGTCACTGATGAAAGAAATCAAAGATGACACAAACAGATGGAGAGATATACCATGTTGTTGGATTGGAAGAATCAATATTGTGAAAATGACTATACTACCCAAAGCAATCTACAGATTCAATGCAATCCCTATCAAATTACCAGTGGCATTTTTTACGGAACTAGAACAAAAAAATTGTAAAATCTGTATGGAGACACAAAAGACCGCGAATAGCCACAGGAGTCTTGAGGGAAAGAAACGGAGCTGGAGCAATCAGACTGCCTGACTTCAGACTATACTACAAAGCTACAGTAATCAAGACAATATGATACTGGCACAAAAACAGAAATATAGATCAATGGAACAGGATAGAAAGCCCAGAGATAAACCCATGCACCTATGGTCAACTAATCTATGACAAAGGAGGCAAGGATATACAATGGAGAAAAGAAAGTCTCTTCAATAGTGGTGCTGGGAAAACTGGACAGCTACATGTAGAAGAATGAAATTAGAATACTCCCTAACACCATGCACAAAAATAAACTCAAAATGGATTAAAGACCTAAATGTAATACCAGACAATGGGCATCATCAGAAAATCTACAAATGGCAAATACTGCAGAGGGTGTGGAGAAGAGGGAACCCTCTTGCATTGTTGGTGGGAATGTAAATTGATACAGCCATTATGGAGAAGAGTATGGAGGTTCCTTAAAAAACTAAAAGTAGAATTACCATATGAGCCAGCAATCCCAGTACTGGGCATATACCCAGAGAAAACCATAATTCAAAAAGACACATGCACCCTAATGTTCATTGCGGCACTATTTACAATAGCCAGGACATGGAATCCACCTAAATGCCCACTGACAGAGAAATGGATAAAGAGATGTGGTACATATATACAATGGATTACTCAGCCATAAAAAGGAACAAAATTGGGTCATTTGTAGAGACGTGGATGGATCTAGAGACTGTCATACAGACTAAAGTAAGTCAGAAGGAGCAAAACAAATATCGTATATTAATGCATATATGTGGAACCTAGAAAAATGGTACAGATGAACCGGTTTGCAGGGTAGAAATAGAGACACAGATGTAGAGAACAAACGTATGGACACCAAGGGGGGAAAGCGGCAGGTGGGTGGGTGTTGGGATGAATTGGGGGATTGGGATTGACATGTATACACCAATATGTATAAAATGGATAACTAATAAGAACCTACTGTATAAAAAATAAATAAAGTAAAATTCAAAAAACAATTAGGGCACATTTGAAAATGACAAGTGATTTCAAATGAATCCCTTCAACAGTACAAAGATATAGAAAGTTGTGAATGAATTAGTATTTATCTGATGAATTCATTTTGAGAGAAAGGGTAGCACTATGGATTAAAAGGAGAAGGAGTATTTTGTAGGACTGCAAGGGGCTGTAGAGATTTAGTCCTTTGTTCCTCAAGGCCATCATCTGCATTAGAATTCCCTTTAGACCATGTTAAAAAAGTCTTGGACCCTGTCACTGGTATATATCTAGTGTATTAAAGAGTGGATAAACTTCTAATACTCCATTTTTCCATATAACAAAATTAATTTAAGTAACAATCATGAAATAATAATAATGGCCAAAACAGAAAGAAACACTGAAAAATTTTTTTAAGACAAAGTTTTTATTGAAAATTCATATAATCAAAGCAGTCAAAACTAAAGTTAAAAAATAAATATTACAGAAACAAAAAGGAAAACAATTTTTCTATAGTTTTTATATCTGCCTAAGAGTTTTTTTTTTTTTTTTTTTTTTTTTTGTTTGCAGGCCTGTCACTGTCGTGGCCTCTCCCGTTGCAGAGCACAGGCTCCGGACGCGCAGGCTCAGCGGCCATGACTCACGGGCCCAGCCGCTCCGCGGCATGTGGGATATTCCCGGACCAGGGCACGAACCCATGTCCCCTGCATCGGCAGGCGGACTCTCAACCACTGCGCCACTAGGGAAGCCCAGCCTAAGAGTTTTAACATTAACCTTTTGTTAAGAGATCAACATGACATTTCGTGTAAATAACTGTCTAGCAAGTAATAAGTGAATTTTAATAAAACTGAGAGATCAAAAGATATCTTACGTAACTACTAAATCATACTGCTGATGTAATGCTTTCTTACTTGATTTTCGTTTTAAGTGGAACAACAGGCAATTAAGGATGAATTCCAATTTCAAAAGATGTTACTTAAATTCTGTAAAACATTTGCCGTGTACACTAAATTTGGCACTTACCAAGGGGCCCCACGGAATGACTGAATGAGATGGTGGGATGGAGTCCAGAGCCCACCACTCCCTTCAGTAGAAGGGACAGAAGAGTGACTGGAGGGGGTACCAACAGTAGGCATGGATAGGTTTGCAGATTACTTGGCAGGAGAGCGGAGTTCTTTCTCACAGCTTCCACTTCTTCGTGATGTCGGAGGTGAGATTACTGACCAAGAGAGAGAAATTGCAAAGGAGTGGGGATTAGGGCTTTAAGAGCAGTGCAGTTTGATGGCGAGCAGAGTTCACTACTAGGGAAACAAACATAGCACAGATGGCTGAGGCAGGAATGGACACCAGGTTTCCAGACACCCAGTTTAGTGCTCTCTTTAATAAACCATATTAAAAAGGATGCCTACTGGGAAGAGTTTTACATGTATGGGCAGCAGGTAGGGTTCACTAAAACAAATGGATGATTTGAGGAAGCAGTAGTTTCTGCTTTTTTTTTTTTTTAAAATAGATCTAAGACAACCCAGTTCTACTTTTTGACATTTTAAGTTCTTTGTCAAAATAATGAAAGACAGGGGGCTTCCCTGGTGGCGCAGTGGTTAAGAGTCCGCCCGCCGATGCAGGGGACATGGGTTCGTGCCCCGTTCCGGGAGGATCCCACATGCCGCGGAGCGGCTGGGCCCGTGAGCCATGGCCGCTGAGCCTGCGCATCTGGAGCTCGTGCTCCGCAACGGGAGAGGCCACAACAGTGAGAAGCCCGCGTACCACACACAAAATAAATAAATAAATAAATAAATAAATAAATAATGAAAGACAGGAACTCGATGTGAAAAAATGACTGCTTTGTCTCAATCTATTGGTTTAAATCTGTCGGAAAATGCAGGATGCTGTATTTTCTTGTGGGTGTCGCATTAGAAACAGCTCACAAAGCTCCTCGCTAGCTTTGAAGATCCTCACTTGTAAATTAACTCTCATCATCATTAATAACATGTGAGTACCAGCAGAGCAGCTGACCGGGGCAGCTTTAAGGTCTGTAAATAGCACTGGACAGATTAACTTAATAATGCCAGAAGCCGCCAAGTACTGTACGTGACCATATCTTACACACCAAACAGCTATGGTCTTCAAAACAAAGTCCGAGACTTTTTAAAGGGGCTAACTTTTGAAAATGGAAAATTATGATTCATACTTTAAGTCATGTCCGTCGTGGTTACTGCTGTTTGAACATAATCTAAAAAATCAGGCTAATGACACGAAATTGTCTGAGAAAAATCTGACACAAATGGAGAATGAAATCCCCGATCAGGCAGAGTGAACAAAATTAAGTTGTGTACCGTGATCTTCCCAGTATCCTGATGTATTTTTGGTTAAAAGATTAATGTCATAAACTTGCCACTACAATGATTTTTGAATGATGCCCTGTCCGAGTTTTTGAGATACTTGAGGGCAGAAATTTTCCACAGTACCTTACCTACTCAACCTTCAACTTGAATATCTGCATAATTTATTACATTCAATATTTTATTAATTGCTAAGTGCCAGCTCTCTATAAAGTTCTAGGAACTTAAAAATGAGTAATTCATAGTTCCTTGTCTTAGAGGTTTCAGATTTAGATGGGGAGCCAACAATTTACAGTTGTGTGATACGAAGCAGAGGTGTGGAAGGGGGAGTGATCGCTATGTTGTCTAGAAGCTGGCAGCTGGTTGAGGTCAAAGCTCTGCTTTAAAGGATGCCTCTGAAAGATGAACAAGAGTGGAAGAACATCCCTGGATGATGAAACTCATACCAGGCGTGTGTAAACGTGACAAGTGCCAGGAGATACCCTAGAGGTGGGTTGGGACCTAAGAGATTCTTATGCTAAGAAGCTTAAATTGTATGTAAAACACCAAACAAAATCAGTGAAGGTTGTAGGTGGTTAGAGACAGGATGAGGTTGGTCTTAGATTGAGTAAATAATGAAAGATGAGTTGGGTGGTGAACTGAGGTATCAACTAAAGAAAACTGTAGGGCACTGTCAACAAATGTGAGCGCTCAGCACTGTACAGCATGCATTTGGGGAAACAGCTCCATTAAAGGACTTACATTTCAGTAGGTCAGATAGATGCTGAAAGGTACAAGGATCTAGGGGAACTACGGGCATGTCAGGGAAGACTCCCTGAGAAAGTGACAGTGAAGTTAAGACTTAGAGGAAAAAGAGGTGTTAAAGGCTGGATCTGATCTGAAGTATTTAGGGTGTTTAATAGACTTTTCCTACTCTCTTACAGACTCAGAAAGAGAACCTGTCTTTTGCAATCATGGGAAATCTATCAGAGGACCTAAAATGTTTATCAGATTAACGAAGTAGTGTGATGAGAACAAGATCAAGTCTCTTATCTCCGCGCCCACAGCACCTTATATTTTCATCATTTGCATCCGTATTATAATTACTTGAGAATTTGGAAGAGGTCCAAGTAAAAGAACAGATTTAAGAGCCAAGAGGGAGACACTACAAAGGGAAGGGGGAGAAAAAAAGATTTAAAAATGTAACAGGGCAAATGGTTTAGAAGGTTCAAATTAAGTCTCAGCGTCGCCCATTTAATACAATAATTTGGGGGTCCTTATTAATCTGCAATTTCAGCAAGAAAAGTACAGTTGGCAAAAATGAGACTGTGGATCGAGAACTTCCTATCAAGAAGCTTGGGTGAGAAGGAACGCTGCATGAGGATTGTTTGTTCTTGTTTTCATTTATTAAGGGAGAGTGCAGAGGGTTTTCAATATCCTTGGTTTGAAGGAAAATGTGACTTACTGATAACTATTATGGACACACGCAGCATCAGGAAACTGTAACAGTGTTTTCTCTAGATAGCTAGATATATGTCGAAAAACGAACGTTGATACATTTTCACTTATCGCTAGGAAAGGACATGAGGCATATCAACTCTTACTATTTACACTCTGGAGAAGAGGAAGATGAGGATTGAATTAGGTTTTGTTTTGTTTTTTTCCCCCAAATAAAGAAGTCGGGCAAGTAACATTTAAAACGTTTTATTTAATAGATTATCATTGGCATATTCCAGTCCTGATTTTACACTCTACGGTGTATTGAAGTTGTGCTGCCGAACGTCACTGATAACTAAGAGGAAAGTCAAGCACCAATATCTTCTCTAGAGGCCTAATCCTGTGCTCCGCTTGCCAATTTTCTGGCTGAATCCCTTCCGACCACTTTCTTTATGCTGGTTACCATGCTGTGCCTAATAAAATCAGTTCCTTTCTTCATCTTGCCAGTTCACACCTTCCCCCAAGGCATAACAACGGTTTAGCCTCTTAATTTTCAGTTCCCTGCAGTAGTACCTTGTTGGGGTGGTGTAATAAAACTCCACCCTTAAAAAAAAAGTAAAAATCGCTCGCCAAAAACAAGATCTCTCCAGGATCGGCAGGAGTGTAAACTTAAGAATCAAGTGGTAACACGTCTTAGCCCGTCTCAGCCATAACTTTCAGATACCGGGTCAGCGGGATGGAAACTGAAAATCCGTAATGCTTACCGGCTGTTAGACGTTTTCTTTCAGTTCCTACCATTACAAACGACGGAGCGCAGATTTCGCTTGCCCGTAGCGTGTGTTCTGCTTGGGCGCCCTCGAAAAGGGTGCTGACACGCCTCTTTACGCAATCGCAACTCAAAAGCCCTCTAGTGACTCAGCGGTAGCACCTCCAAGCTGTTACTCATACCAGAGATTCCTGGACCCAACAGGAAGCCCAGAAGTCTTACGTATTTACTCTACCTGCAACTCCCGCTCCTCAGACTTGAATACTTGCGCGCTGCGGCTCCATTGCCCGTGACTCACCGTCTTCACAGCATCAGGACCCCCGACACTGCTTTCCTTAGGGGGCTCGTGCTAACCCACTAGAGAGCTCAGGCTCGAGCTGAAAAATGCGGTGGTCGCGGCGCTTTCGACCTCCTCCCCACCGACCCAGCCTTAACTGCCTTCTTTCCCTTCCCTGATCTGAGCCTGTGCCGCCAGCGCCTTCAGGCTTGCCAGGCCCCTGGCCGGCGGCCTGCAGGCCCGGCGGGGAGACACGCAGCCCCCCCTCCCCGGCGCCCCGTCCCCTCACGGCCCCTGGGCCGGTGGCGGGAGCCCAGGGGCCGCGACAGGCCGAGGGGGCCGAGCTCTTCCGCCCGGGTAACCCAGGATTCGGTGGGTCGGAGAGCGCAGGCCCACTCGCTGGAGCGAGAAGGTCAGGCTCACCTTGGGGCAGTCGCGCCCGGACAGCGGCCAGCACCGCCCCGAGCCGCCCAGCGGAGTCTCCCGGGTCACGCGAGGACACCAGGGCCCCGAGCCGGGAAGCACCAACACCAGCACCGGCACCAGGCGGAGCCGGGTCCAACCCTTCCCGGCGGCCCGCCGACTTCCGGACCTGCGCAGAGCTGCCCTGCGCCCGCCGCGCCGCCCCTCCCCCGCCCGCTTCCCGGCGTGCCCTGCGCAGGAAGGGCCGGAGTCGACAATAACAAACCCGCGGCGGCCGTGTCCGCGGCCCTGCTGAGCCCGGCGCTGCCTCGGCTCCCCGTCGCCCGGCCCCTCGGCTCTGACCGGCCGCGGCCCGCCCTCCCCCGGCCCCCGACCCAGAGCCGAGGGGCCTGCCCGTCCCCGCCGCCCAGAGGCGGCGGCCCCGGCCGCGGCGGTTGTGTCGGTTGGCGGCGCCGATGGACGGTTGGTAGCAGCCGCCGAAGACAAGGCGGCGGCGGAAGATGGTGCCGGGAGCCGCGGGCCCTGCTGCTGCCGCCGGCGGAGGAGGAGGCGCTTCCCGGTGAGTGCGGCGTCCTGCCCCTCGGGCGCGGCCCAGGGAGCGGGTCCCCGGGCGGGGGAAGCGGGGGCGGGCGGCTCCGCGGGGGCCTGTGCAGCCCCGGCCTCCCGGTGCCTCCCGCCGGCGTCGGGAGCGCCGGGGCCCAGGGACGCACCCTCGCCGCCGCCGCCGCCGGGCTGGGCCCCGAGGTGTCAGGCTCGGAGGCCGGACGGGGCGAGGGTCCCAGACGCGGCTCCGTCCCGCCGCGGAGCGCGAGGCTTCCCCGAGGGCACGATGCGGATAAAGTTACTCCCGGGAATGACTCAGCCTCCGCCGCCCCGCGGGCGGGCGCGGGACGAGGCGCGGGTGCGGGTTTCACAGCTGGTCATCGCCGCCGTGCCTCCCACCGCCTGCCGCGTGCGCTGCGTTTGTTGTAGATGGTTTCGTGCCCGCGTTCCCTCCGTCTGAAGTGTAGTCGCCCCGCGGGGCCCTGGGCAGGCGCAGGTGCCCGCTGTTGATAAAGAGGCGCGTTGCTGCGAGACCCGAAGCCGGGGAAGAGCGTCCGCCAGGCAGGGAGCAATGATTTGGGCCGCAGGAGCAGGGCCTAACCGCCGTTTTGTATAGTTTCTAGGTTTTCATGTGTGGGTGGTGCTTGTGTGGTTTCTCCCGAGGGTGGGAAGGTGAGCCGCTTAGGAGCAGGGTACTCAGCTTAAGCAGACAGACAGCCTGTTTGATGAAGAATCTCGCCGTTGTATGTCCGTATTTGATAGAAGCAGCGCGCTTCCGATCCTGACGTTACTATGAGGGGCAGCCAGGGACCACTGAGGAAGGTGGCTGACTCGATCCGTAAGGAGACCCTTGATGGCGAGGTGAAGATCTCTTTTTCCTTTCTGTTTTTAATGTTGCAACAATAGAATATGGTCTGGGTGAACACATTTTTCAGCAACATTTTCGTGTTTAATATTGTGTTTAAAACCTAGAGTTTTAGAAAAGAGATGCTTCCTGTTGATAAACGTTTGTGTTGGCAAATGCCTGTTGATGGACCTCGGACATGGACTCAGACCACGGTTTTAAAAAGTAATTTTATTTCGTCTGTTTGGAACCTTTTATGTTAGTCACAGGATTAGTTTGGGGCCTGATTCTTATATGGTGATGTTGGATGACAGGGAAGGCGAGGAGGCGAAACTCGTCTCTGAGGACAGTGTTTTTCTGGCCCTTGCCAACAAGCACAAGGTCAGAACACATGGCAGATTTGACTCCTAGCAGATGAAATTCATTAAGTCAGAAGGGACAGAGGGCCCAAGACCTTTGTTTTTGAAAAGCCACACTTTTGAACTTAAAATTTTTATTATGTAAGCTTGAGGAGCTTTTATTTAGCCTCTGATTTTGAGACTATCTTTAATTGTCATGCATTCAAGCAAATGTTTGAACACCTGCCCTATGCTTTACTTTTCAGCTGTATATAACTCTTCAAAAAAAGTAGTGGGTAGTGAAATTTTCTCATTCAGGTAATGCTGTTCTGTAACCCCAGTTAAGCTTTCTGTGTTCAGAAAATACTGGTTCAGGCAACTCAGGTAAAAATCTAGCAGTCCCTTTCCACGCACACTCATTTAGATGGTTAGTATTTCCTTACCAAGGCAGACCGTTGAACCAGTTACTGCAAGGAATACAGGAATGTGTTTGATATTGTTTTTGCCTTTTATAACGAAAGAAAATTGAAGTCCTGTATACACTTAATTACTATTTAAGCATTAATTGGAAATCTGAAGGAAAGACCCAAGAGAAGTGAGGAAGCTGACTGTGTGACTGTCTGGGGAAAGAAGGAATTGTAAATGCAAAGGCTCTGAGGACCTTGGCATATACGAGGGAAGGGGAGAAGGTTGCTGAGGTGGGCGAGGCGAGCGAGGGGAGCCCAGTAGGAGCGTGTGGTGGTAGCAGAGGCTCCACAGATACTCAGGTTTCGGGGCTCTGAGTAAGGAAGGTAGCGTACTCTAAGCCCCACGTGCAAAGGCACAGAGGTTTGTTCAGTAAACCTGGCAGAGCTGGGAAGCAGCTTGGGCTGAGAGTCATTCCTTTGCTCGTGAAATGTTAAACCCCAACAGGACCCAGTTTTAGCT